TCCTCTCCTCTCCTCTCCTCTCCTCTCCTCTCCTCTCCTCTCCTCTCCTCTCCTCTCCTCTCCTCTCCTCTCCTCTCCTCTCCTCTCCTCTCCTCTCCTCTCCTCTCCTCTCCTCTCCTCTCCTCTCCTCTCCTCTCCTCTCCTCTCCTCTCCTCTCCTCTCCTCTCCTCTCCTCTCCTCTCCTCTCCTCTCCTCTCCTCTCCTCTCCTCTCCTCTCCTCTCCTCTCCTCTCCTCTCCTCTCCTCTCCTCTCCTCTCCTCTCCTCTCCTCTCCTCTCCTCTCCTCTCCTCTCCTCTCCTCTCCTCTCCTCTCCTCTCCTCTCCTCTCCTCTCCTCTCCTCTCCTCTCCTCTCCTCTCCTCTCCTCTCCTCTCCTCTCCTCTCCTCTCCTCTCCTCTCCTCTCCTCTCCTCTCCTCTCCTCTCCTCTCCTCTCCTCTCCTCTCCTCTCCTCTCCTCTCCTCTCCTCTCCTCTCCTCTCCTCTCCTCTCCTCTCCTCTCCTCTCCTCTCCTCTCCTCTCCTCTCCTCTCCTCTCCTCTCCTCTCCTCTCCTCTCCTCTCCTCTCCTCTCCTCTCCTCTCCTCTCCTCTCCTCTCCTCTCCTCTCCTCTCCTCTCCTCTCCTCTCCTCTCCTCTCCTCTCCTCTCCTCTCCTCTCCTCTCCTCTCCTCTCCTCTCCTCTCCTCTCCTCTCCTCTCCTCTCCTCTCCTCTCCTCTCCTCTCCTCTCCTCTCCTCTCCTCTCCTCTCCTCTCCTCTCCTCTCCTCTCCTCTCCTCTCCTCTCCTCTCCTCTCCTCTCCTCTCCTCTCCTCTCCTCTCCTCTCCTCTCCTCTCCTCTCCTCTCCTCTCCTCTCCTCTCCTCTCCTCTCCTCTCCTCTCCTCTCCTCTCCTCTCCTCTCCTCTCCTCTCCTCTCCTCTCCTCTCCTCTCCTCTCCTCTCCTCTCCTCTCCTCTCCTCTCCTCTCCTCTCCTCTCCTCTCCTCTCCTCTCCTCTCCTCTCCTCTCCTCTCCTCTCCTCTCCTCTCCTCTCCTCTCCTCTCCTCTCCTTCATTACTTATACTTATTGAATGTATCTGGACAAAAGCAACGTCAGAAAATACAGTGAAAAATCCTGCTATCCTGGTTTCTCTCCTCCTTTATCCTTGTGACTGTTATTCAACAGTAGGAGCTAACCTGCTAAGTTTCCTTTATGATGTCCTTTGGGTCACAAAGAAATGTGATTTCTCACAGACCAAGTGAGCTTTCAGTATGCAGAATAAAAAACTGAATAATCTTAGCTATGCTGCATGACTGATTGTTGTCCTTTCTTCTTTCCTCTAGGTAACCCCAAATTAAATTGCCTTCAGTAAAAACATATAAAATATAATTAACCTTAGTGACATTGTTATCCTCAATGCCCCTGAATCCATCTAGCACAAAGCAGAAAGAAACATTTCTTCTTTGTTATGACTAAAAATTCTATAACAAAATATGGAGTTATCCAAGTGTTACTGTATCATAGGTAACAACACTGAACTGTTGTCAAACTTTCAGCGGCGGTATGGCGTGGAATGACAAGCCTTTGTGACATTGGGTTGTTCAGTCAGTATTGCCTTGTGAATTGATTTTGCAGCCTGAAACAACCTGGATTAGTTTGAGTTGTAACTCTGTCACAGACTGGGTTGAAGATTCTGTGCACATCACTTTTCTTCTGTCTGTTACCTTACCTGTCAGATGGGATGATAATTCTTGCCTGCCTTACTGGAGTGCAGTGAAGATTCGGTAGCAATTTTAGACATAAATTATCACATGATTTTCTGAGACTACAGTTGGTACAAGACACAGAGATGCCAATGGTTTGTCATCTCCAGAAATAGATCATGCCAGTCCTTAGCATGATTTTTCACAGTTAGACAGCAATTATTTGCAGAGTAGTACCAGGCTAAAAAGGTCTGTGTGGTTGGTTGCTATCTGTTAGAAGGAGGGATGAAGAAACATTTAGAAATTGCTAGCCTCTGTTTAAAAGCTGAGGTGCCAGTTATCACCTTCTTCCATTTCATAGCTCTACTAAAACATAAGGAAGTAGATCCTCTATCCTCAGTCTTAGAACGCCCATCAGCTTAGTACAGAGATGTTGCTACAGGACTAGGAAAATCAGCTGAAGATCCCGTCCTTTTGGGTTGTTGTCATTGTCATGTTTTTAACTGTCATTACAGCAAAATATTTCTTAATATTCTGAATTCATTCACATCTGAAGACAAGAGTTCTGAGAGTGCACTTTTTATTTACACCCCACTTACTGTGCGGATTTCCATACAACTTGAGTTCAATCAAATACCTGAGTCACACTAAATGAAGATTGCAAAGAGCCAGAGGTGAGTCTAGACATCTAAGGAGATCATAATGTCAACACGGGATACCATAGAAGTCACTGGTCTTACTGCAAGTGAAGCTTGACTGCTATTATGTTTAACTTTCATGTATTAAAGCAAATAAAAGCTTTCCCAAACTCTTTTGATCACCATATTGTCATGAGCTCACCAAAGTTATCTCTGCATTTCACTTTGAATCTTGATTTAGTAAAATTTATTCATTTGCTTAGCTGTTCTTCCATACCTGTTCGCTTTTTCATTTGTTTTTTCTATTGCCATTGAAAAGACAAAAAAGAGAAAATCACATCTGAAGGACATTTCGATACTTAACTGGCCTGTGGACACCTTCTTTAGTGCTATCAAGGACACCCAAAAATTATTTTATTCTTCAGTTCCTGGAAGGATGAAGGAAAAAGAAACTAAAGGTAAGTCTTATGTTTCCTGCAGAGATCTCCATTCCTGTATAAATCAGTAAGAAATAATTTCCAACTGGGTGTTTCCAATGTTATTTATTTTTCACTCTCTACCTAAAAAACATACACAGAATTCAAGCAACCGCTGTGCCTGTACAATTTAGGTAGTTATCATTCAGAAACACAAAGCCCAGAGTTACAATTAAATCCTCACTCTGCCAGGCACTGCATAAACAAGTAGATACAGAAGGCACATTACAGAAGACAGAGATGAAAGAAGGAACAGATACAATCTCTGTCCTTCCTTTACAGGGGTAAGCCAGAAAGCTCAACATATTCTCTGATGCAGCTCTATGCATTCATGTTTATTCTCTACAGGATATATATATATAGGGGTTCACACTGTCCTACAAGGAGCCCAAGCTCAGCTTCTTTCAGATCCTATCCATCCTTTCAATAGACAACATGAGAGACCGTCTGGGAAAAGGTACAATTAGGAAAGGATACGATGGTCCAAAAAAAAAAAAAAAAACCCAAAACAAAACAAAACAAAAAAAAACAAACCCCAAACCATATCATTTTGATGCTTGGTTGCAAGACTTGAGATTTCTGAGTTTTGGAACCGCACATATTTGTGAAGTTTGAACTGAAGCCTGAGCTCGTGGCCTTGCTCAGATCATAGTGCAGATGCAGGAGTACAGAAACTCATTTGCTGCCTCAAGGAGACCAAAGACAGCAGCAACATATGGTCCATGCTCACAAATTCCCTTTCCTTGTTTAATCTATTGGAAAATGCTGCCTATCTAATATTTCTATCTGTAATTTTTATATTTCATTACCCAAAGTGAAATCACAGCTGGGACTCATGGAACAAAAATTCAGAACAAGCCTGCCAAACATGTGTGTTTTCAATCCAGGCTAGTAAAAAGGAATCACTGTGATAGCTAAAGGCAGCAAATATCTGTGCACAGCACTGCTTTCATCATGCTCTCTCTGTCAGAACTTGTTTTGATTTCTTTTCATATCTGCTATGAATAAAGGCTATGCATTGACTATTAAATGTACTGGATTTGATTTTGAGACTAACTCCTTGAGCTAGATGAGAAGGGACTTAACTGATGTCTGTAGACATAATCTAGTAATTTTATAAAAGAATCAAATTACTGTCTTTTCTATACATGTATTAACGAACACTTGTAAATACCAGTAAGGGGTTTTTGTTTTATTTTTGGTGGTTTTCTTAAGAGAAACCTAGATAATAAATACTGAAGAAAAGGAAAAATTTGAAAATGCAAATGTAAATCCAACAAAATATATACTGATAAAAAGAAAAATAAAACTTACGGAGGGGTAAGCAAGCAAGAATTGCTATTTCAAAGAAATGTATAGTGTAGTACTATATATTAACTCTAGTTTGGAGAGTAGTTCAATATTATAACCCCCCAATTATCTGGAAGAAGGGATACACTGATACAGATCTTTTTATAGCATCGAGTCCTAGAACACTATGAACTGATATTGCAGGATGTTTTCTCAGCTGTCTAATTATTCTGTTTTATGAACCAGCTTTATCTGAAGGATGCTTTCTGCACTCAGTTTCACTGTGGCTTAGTCTCTGGAGAATTTCCATTACACTGAGCACCCCAGGATTTACTGAGTAGAGAGCACTGCAGAAGGTAGGACTTTGGCTTCTTTTTTAAAGCTGGGACTAGTAATGTGAAGCCCCCACTTCCATACAGACTGGGGTTGCATCTACTTCTGATTACTCTTATTATTTATGACTTACAGAATGTAACTTAGCAGCTTTAGCCTTATTATATTTAGCACAGCACACACGAGGAAAATAAAACAACAATTTGCTCTTTGAGTCACAGTTCTTGCAGACATATCAGTCCCAAAGGCAGGCTTCACTGAGACACACCCACCCTCAGAAAGAGTGAAGCAGAGATAGTAATTTCTCTAAACGGATGGGGGTTTAGTTTAATAAATGTTTATTCTGTCTGTCCCTCAAATATTATAATTTTTCCCCTTGGTTTACTGTAAGGAAAACTTGCAATTTGCATTAATAAATTGGATCTCACAGTCTTCTGAAAATGAACTCAGTAACATATGCATCACATATTCTGCTAATTCCTTCTGTCTATGCAGTAAAATCTTCAGGGCAAGCACAGTCTTTTACAATGTACATGTCTAGTAGAAAGGGTTCTCAAAGTTGGACCTACTCAGCAACATTGGTAACAACAACATCATCGTCGTCGTCATCATCATCATCATCATCATCATCATCATCATCATCATCATCATCATCATCATCATCATCTCATTTTATAGGTTGAGAATAAAGCAGAAAGTGACAGAAAGTGAGGATCCGAGAATCCAGTAACTATATAATCAAAACCAGTAGCAATTCCAGTGGACTTCTGTGGTCTTCAGATCAAGCCGTAAGTGCAGGGCCTATATTTAGTCTTCAGCAGTCTCTGACACAGAAGATGTAAAACTGAGGAATAGATCATCTGGTGCTGGATATGTAGATTCAGTTTTCCTCAGTTTGAAGCAGGCTGTCAATAAGTAATAATTCTGAAAAATGTTCAGGAATGGTTTTGGTTTAGTTTCAACTAAAAGTCTCATTTAAAAATATTTATGTTTCTTGAAGAAATGGTTTCATTTCAAATTATGAGGAACATTTAATTTAAAAGCTTCCTTTTGACATACAGTTTATTTTGTTTGTTGCTTTTTTAAATTTTCTAACTACCAACAATGTATGATCACTGGAAATGAGAAAATTCTCAGTAACATCAATAAAAATGCTAGCAAGTGAAAGACCTCAGCCTGCTAATTGCACATGACAGCAAGTCAGAAAAGTCCTTTTACTTTTCCATTCAGGCTTGAGACGTTACAGTTTGTCTGTTGTTCTGATTTTTTTTTTTTTTTCCCCTTTGATTTTTCCCCTTCCACCTGCTCTAAAATATAAACAAACCAAAACAAGGATGCTCTTTTGGGAAGAGTATTTACTACCATGTGAAAATCGAGCTTCAGTGTATCACAAGTGTGTCATCATTTATTCAGAAATGCTTTGAAAAATTGCATTCTCCAGATTTTCTGAATAAATAAGTGGGATCTGCTTGTTTTATAACTGAACTGAGTCCTATGAAGCACAAGCCATGCTCCCAAACTATCAATTCAAGGGATTCATTTAGAGCCAAGAAGCTTTAAAGCTGTCTTGTTGACAGGAAGCATATTTTATAGTCTTTCACTTCTCCCATTGTGTAGGAAGCAATTCTACACTGGTAGTTTAACCTTCATCTACAAAGAGCAATTGTTCTTCCCATGAAGCCTGTACTGTTTTCACTTCAGGAATACACCAAAGAAATTATTAATGGCAAAAGTTATTAAAAAGAACAGTATTCTTACAGCAAACACTGCCAGTTAAATGCAGACAAATATTTCTTTTAAAAAGTATAAAATTGCTAACGTCTGGCAGGTTTGGTTTGGTTTGGTTTGGTTTGGGGAGTGTTTTTTTCTTTTGTTTTATTATTCTGCTTCACGCTCTACTTTTTTGACAGCCAAATATTTGATAAATCTCTCCAGACCTAACTGACCAGACCTAGTTGACAACATTCAACTGAAAAATCTACATCCAGTCTGTGTTTGTTGGAGTATTTCTGAAAGACAATCATTAATAGAATATTTCAAGACCTGCTTATTAGTGGTAGGAGGTGGTAGTAGCCAAAGGAATAAATATCAAGTTCTACAAGATTCGTTGGGTCATTCATTATGAAATTGCAAGACCAATGCAGAAGGAGTGTTGGAAAATTTGTCTAAATCCTAGACTTCCTTATTCCAGGAGAATATATTTCTCAAGGAGATTTCACACAAAATTGTATTTTCTCTGCCTCTGTTGTCCTGAAAATCGGTGTCTTTCCAGGGCCTATCTAGTTCCTGGGAATTAGGTCACTATCCTGGCAACTCCTGTTGTTTTGAATCCTGTCACCCAGACTCTTGGTCTACATATTCCTAGGCAGGTTCCCCCGCCATTGAGATGGTATACAAAAAGGGAACAATGCTTTTATCACGTCCTTTTCCAGTCACTTTATAGGCTCCCAGAAAGTTAATTGTTTAATAGAGATGAGAGTTTAAACCTGTGACTCCTATTTTCACACAAACATCTTACTCCTGGTTACAAGTCAACAAACACAATAGTGATAGAAACAACATTTAAAATATATTCTCCTGACTATTTCCCATAGGGTGCCTTTGACAGCTTTCTCCTCTGTGTGTAGCTGCTGGAAACTCTCCTGAAAGCCTTAATTCTCCTCAAGAAATATGCATTTAACCAGGGCACTAACTCAACATTATAAATCACAGTCTCAGAACTGAACTACAACTGTGCGTCTGTCTGCACCTTGGCAACTTTGTGAACGTGGATTGACTTGTTTAGGATAAAATTATGCTAAGAAATATTAGATTTTGGAAAGACCTGCCTGGAAGTTGATGTATGCCAATATAAAAACATGAGAGGATTATCCACAGAGTATTAAACCAAAATATACGGTCAACAGTAGACGGTTATTTAATTTAGGCTGCAAAGCATTTATACTTGGCAATTAAACACACAGAAGGAAAGACTCAGCTTCATTTAGATCCTCTTGGGAACCTGACTGATCCTGAAAAATACACTTTTGTTACTCTAGTCACAGTTATAAGAGAGGGGCTAATATTCTCTGGCCCGTTTATATCTCAGTATTGAGCTTTTCTACACATAGGTATTCATCTCATTGGAAGTGCACAATTCTTGATCAAGCTCTGGCCCTGTGCAGCCAAATCATATTTCTGCTTGTGCTATGTGTAACTGTACAAGCAAGTAATGCGGTCCAGGAGCATCTATGGAGCAAACCTTAACACTGAGGATCCAGGCGAGCACTTTAGGAATGTCCCATGGAATACCTGTAATCTGATGTCACAGACAAAAGGCCCATTACTGGATGGACCATGTCAGGTGCACTTCTGGAGCTGTTCTTTGGTTTATTTTCATCTGACACAAAGCTTATCTGCTGTGCATGCTGACAATTCAACAGGGGATTAAGTGGGAATGATTGAGAGAGTCACTGCATAAACTCAGTCCTGATCCAAACTAAAATGGTAGCAGACGCATCAACTGCATGACTGATGTTTCTTGAACCCTGTGCTACAAACGAGGAAATACAAATTGAGATGCAGTAAGCAATTGTCTTTTGCAGAGCATAGCAGCTGTCAGCACCTGCCCCACAGCTGCGTTACGGTCTTAGCCAAAAGGTACGTAGAAGTAGCTGCACTCTTGACATCCTAGATGGTTTGAAGACCCGGGCCAGGGGTGTAAGGGCTCTAGCTCAGGCTTAGTTATATTAATTAAGTGAATTGCAACACCAGTTTGGATACAGCCATAAACCAACTATCCAAAGCAGATGTAAGACAGGTAAGGGGAATCCAGTCTTAACATTCACTTATAACTGAAGCACTTTGATCAGTAGGAAGATGTGATTACCAGGCAGCTCATCACTCTAAGTGTGCTGAGGAACTGGGAATGAACAGGTGAGTCAGTCAGACAGATTTGTTCTCTTTCTGCTGCCTCACGTGGGAGTTCCTGGGTCATTAAGCCCAATAAGCCCTTGTTGCAGTATCCCACCATAAAATCCATTTAGAAGTTTGTTGAGGTCTGTGTTAAAAATAATTAAATTGTGGTACCCTCCCCTCCTCTCCCCTCCAGTTCACATGGGAAGACTTTCCCAGAACCTCAATGTTCTGGTAGTCAGGGAACTTTTTACAAGACCCAAACTAAACATATTCTAGGTCAATTAGATTCTCTCAAGATAAAATACTCTCTGCCAATCTCTCAAAAGAAACAAATGAGTCATATAGGCTTATCAATGAGTCTGTTCTTTGACTTTTTTTGGAATAAAGTAAGAAGTCTGAATGTACTGTTTCATTATTTTTATTTCCCAAAGGCAGTTGTCACTCTGAATAGTCTGGAAAGCCCTGCTCTGGAATTCTTATATCACTGTTTTCTCACTTCTGTTCCTCTTTCACCCATGCCACAAGAGTCACAAAGCAATTTTGCTGTGCCTAGCAAACCTAGTTCATTCACCTACGATTTACAGGAATAACACATGCCTAAAAAGAAAAAAATATATATATATATATATATATTGGAAAGTAATGCACGAAGGAATTACAGTATTTCATAAGAGATAATTCACTTGTCATCTAGATGACATTAGTAAAAATCTCCAAGGCAAGATGAATTTACTTAATTCAAATAAAAAACAGTTTAAAATATGATAACATGTTTTGGTTAAAAAAAGCTTAGAATCGTTTTTGTCTTCATTCTGTCACTTTGAGGGTTGTAGATACTAGAGTAGGTGTGAAAACTAAGAATTTGGAATGTAAGAAATGCAAGCACATGTACTAGAAATCCACACACACACACACACACACACACAAAAAAAAAAAAAAAAAAAAAAAAAAGGTTTTATATTAGTTAATTATACTAAAGTAAGGCAATGGCTAAGCAGAACACGTACAAATCCAAGATCACAGTACACAAATAACGGGTAAATGAACACAGCTGAAAAAAAAAATGTCTATATATCTATCAAAACAAATAAAGGACAGCAAGAACAGATAAGAGATTGCTTTTAGCAGAGGATTTTGTCAATTACAGAACTAACCAACCATGGCTGAATAACATCCATGCTTGGATGAAAGATCACTATCACAAATCAAGCACTGTAGAAGAGCCACAGATAGCTGTGTGCTCAATCCATCAGTTATTTTACAAGAGCTGAGCTCGTCCCTCCATTCTCCTTGTAGCCCCCAGACAAATCCACTGTTTATGAGGCACAGACGCTGCACTGCAGTTTTATCATGGCGTAGGAGCAAGGTCTCACCCCAGTATTTGCACCTAACACACTCTTTTCAGAAGGAAATAACTAATGAAATGAGTAAATTAAAGTAGTCTTGTTTATGTGTTTATTTTCTGCTTGGTCTGTTTGGATGTTTCCAAGTAAATAGAAATTATAAGCTGGAGGTAGAGACTTTCTGCTGTATATGTGTGGGGACTTTCTGCTAAACCATTTTTCTGCAAATTCGACAAGACACTGAAGACATTCTCTTCCTCAGTGTGGGTTTTGAGGTAGTTAATCAAAAGGTATGGAGACTCTCTTGGGTGAAAGGAGGTTCCCTGAAGACACATTATTTGGGCTGTGAAGCTCTGCGGTTACTATAGAGTTTTCCTGAGAGCTGTGGCACATTTTACTTAAGATCTCCCTCTGAACCTGATGAAAATGTGTGAAATGCATTAACCCATTTTACACAAAAATATCTGAACATGATCGTGTTTCACTTATAAGTAAATTGCAGAGGCACAGGTCTTCAGAAGACAAATTAATATGTGTGCAAAACCTTG